CCAAGTACATCCTTAAAGCTTCAAATTCCAAGGAAATAAAGTGATCCCAACACGTATTTTAGCATCAGGAATATTACTTTAAGTGCTTGTAAATGCCCTGAGAGCAGACGTGGTGCATAATAAGAATAATTATACAATTTGGGGATGGATACCCCAGTTTGGGGCTCGGAGAGGTGCCATTGTCACCACAGCCCCTCACAGAGTGGCCAGTGTAGGGGCTGTGAGGTTTCCTCCTCCTGGGCCAAGGCAATGCCAAAAACCCTTAGGGAATGATATAAGTAAACGTAGGCAGACAGGGTTTGATAGAAAACAGCTTTTCCCGTGATTGGATGCACATTTCCAAGCCATGCAGCGTTTCTGGGAAGAACAGAGAGGGCGGGGGTTTATCCTCACAGTGCTGAGCCTGGAGGGGGGGACCAGATGGGGAGATCCAGACAACCTGGAGGAATCTGCTTTGGTACCTACAGCGTGCCAGGGACTGGCAGCAAACCCCGGGACAGGCAGCAAACATGCTGCCCTTCGGCTCATTCTGTCCTGAATCTCCTCCTCCTCTCACAAAAAATATAAATAACAAAAGGGCATGTTTTCCTTGTTTGCCTCGGGGCAAAAAAAAAAAAAAAAAAGTTTTCAGGGGTGGAAAAATGCTGTTTCAGATGGCCCAACCCAGCAGCGTGTGGAGGCAAAACAGGAAAGCCGGGAAAACCTCACCGATGCCGGGACTGGCTCCGGGCACAGACAGGACCAGTCACACCACCAGCACCTTCACCAGGAGTGTGGGTTTTCCTGGGGGCGTGTTTTGGGAATGGTACAACCCTGAGTAGCTGGGCTGGACATCCAGGTAGCCCTCAGTGACCACAGACAGGTATTTATAAGTCCTGCTGACCCACAAATCCCGTATAGCGGCTCCAACCTTCCTGGCAGCACCAGCTCCGGGTTTCCCAGTAGCTCCAGTTCCCACTGGGACTTTGCCAGTTTGTTTTCACATTGCTTTGCTGACATTTCTGCAGTGCAGCTTCCCCCTCCCAAACAGAAAACAGGAAAGAGAAAGCAAACCAAGAACTCTCACTAATCTGTCACGTGGGAACTCGACAGCAAACCCTTCCCGGGCTGTGGGAAATGCAGCAGGAAAAGCCCTTGCTGGGACAGATGCACTGGGGAGCAAGGATTTTGCTGGGGTTTATGCAAACCAAACCCTGAAGAAACATTCTTTTTCAGTAGAAACTGGTGCTTTCTGCCCTTCTGGAGCCACAAGACACCTGTCAGCCTCCTGTTTTATCAGTCATAGAACCACCATGGAATAGTTTGGGTTGGAAGGGACCTTAAAGCCCAGCCAGTGCCACCCCTGCCATGGGCAGGGACATCTCCCACTAGCCCAGGTTGCTCCCAGCCTCATCCAACCTGACCTTGGACACTTCCAGGGATGGGGCAGCCACACTTCTCTGGGCAACCTGTGCCAGGGCCTCCCCACCCCTCTGGGAAGGAATTCCCCCAATATCCCAATATCCCATCTAACCCTACACTTACATATCCCTACAGTTATGCAGTACTTGGGAGTATCCAAGAAGACATCCCTGTGCACAGCTCTTTCTAGGGCCCCACAGGGAAGGAGGGAAGTTGCTTTTCTCTCTGCTAAAATTACCTTTATCCTCCCTCCATGACCACACGCTTCCAGCCCAGCCCCAAAGTGACTTTGCCTCTGGAAAACCACTCAGCCCCAGCAGAGCTCACACCACTGAGCCAGCAGTGAGCCTCAGACTCTCCTGATTTTTGGCACCACTGCTGGCAAGGAGCAGCTTCTCCACCCACCCACCTTGTGCTGCAGAGGGGGAAGTGCTGTGCCTGGCAAAGGAACAAACACCAACACAGGCTTCAGTGCTGAGCACAACCCAAATACACAGAGAGCAAATTCTGCTGCTTCAAGCCCAGCCGAGCCAGGGAGCAGCTTTCCAAGCCAGGGAGCAGTTTTCCAGACAGCCATGATTTCATCAGACCCCAATCCAATTTTGTGGTCCATGGGCTCAGCCAGCACCACCCTGCACAGCCCAAGTCACAGGGTGTGGTGGGACAGCACCCCAGGGGTGTCTGTCAGTCCCTCCTGTGCTGCAGGGTCCTCTTGGGGACACAAGGGAGGGGATTTGGGAATTCTGCCTGGATGTCACAGCCACGTTCAGCACTGTGAGGGTGCTCAGCACCCCGAGGAACAGCCAAAGCCTCGGCCCTGCCCCAGCCAGGGGGTCCCTTCCAGCAGGCGCTGCCTCAGCTCAGTCCTGCTCCTTCAACAGGGATTTTTGGTTTGTAAAGAAAGATTCCCTGCCTTAGGCAGACAGGGCAGGAAAATGCAGGGGATTTTAACCCCAGCCCAGTGCCAGATCTGTGTCTGCATCCCTGGCTCTGTGCAAGCCCAGCTGCATCCCCCTTTCCAGACACGCTCCTGCCAGTGTGTGCCCTCCCCTGGGACATCACCAGCCACGTGGAGAGCAGACACATGACCCATTCCCAGGAATTATTGCTATTAAAGACTCTTCGCAGATCAGAAAGGCCTTGGTTGCTTTTCCCTAAGGAAATCCCACAAGGTCATGAAGGACATTCTTAGCTAACCTGAAAATTTCCAATTCTTATAAGGTAAAAATGTGAGTAAAGGTAAAATATAAATAATAAGAGAAAAATACAACTATTAGATAAAATTTTATCTTACACTGTAAAATAATTGCTTTGTGATTTGGTGCAGAGCTCCAAGTCCTGATTTCTGGTGGCCTCAACTACAGAAGGACTTGGGAGGGTCTAGCCAGTGGTGCCACTGTGTGCCCTGGGGACAGCACAGCTCAGAGACTGGCACTTGGCTGCCAGTAAAGGCACCCTCAGTCCCCACCCCCCCCCCTCCAAGGAGGCTCCTGGAGTGATGGGAAATGGGATGGATGCTGGTGGTGATGCACACAGAGAGCAAAACAGGATATGGTTGTGCTCTGAAAGGTGTTTCTGAAACAAAAACTCTCTCAGTGCAGCACATCCACTCCCTGCCCGAGCTCAGGCTCTGCTTTCTCATAAACAGGCTGGTTCCTGGGGAAATGAAAGTGAAGTGGAGAATCCATCACATGTGTGAGTGGGAACAGCAAAGGAGTCCATCCCCAAGGCCAGGTGAGCTCAGCCACAAGGGAGTTGATCCTTCTGCTGTTCCTGGGACTGGCCTGAGTTTTATGGTCTATTAAAGTCACTTCCAAACCATCCCCCTCAGTCCCTGGGGGAGGCAGGGGGTGCCAGGGGCACACAGGGAAAGGCTGGGAGGGCAGGGACAGAGCCTGGGGACCACTAGGGGTGACATCACAGAGTTTTGGGGTGAGGGAGAGGAAGTAAAAGGTTTTTCTTTAAATCCCTACAGTGAGAACACTTTGCAAAGTGTGAGAGCAGCAGAGGCAGCTGCTGGGAGGTGCTGGGAATGCTTCACATCCCAGATCCTGCCGAAATTAGGGAAACACCCCAGGACTGACGTGACCTGAGGCAGCATCCTCCACTGAGGGCTCAGAGCCCATCCCAGGAGATCACAACAGCAACAAACCCCATTTCAGCACTAAACCCCAAACCCTCAAAGCTGCCAATCCGAAAGCATCAGAGAGAAACCCAGCCCTGCACCCAGGGGACAACTCTGTGGTAAAGAACCCGCAGTGCTGAAGGCTCTGGCTCCCACACTACACTAATTAAGGCACATCAAGTCATCAGCAGCCTCAAAAGAAGGTTGGAAGCTTTAACTAGCATGAGTATCAGCTGCTGGAACAGGCCCATGGCTGCATTTCTGGGAGGTGTGATCCCAGCGAGGAGCGGTGCCACCACAGGGGTGACAAACCCCGTGCCCTGCAAAGCTGTAAGAGCCCACAATGTGCCCAAGAGATTCACTTCTTATAAACCAAAATAAAACGGGGTATCTAGAGCTACAAACCCCTGCTGTGAACAGGAATTGTGATCTGAGTAAATCAACGATGCTTGAAAGGGGTAGGTGGCACAGAGACCCTGGTACCTGCTGCAGGTATGAGATGCTGGGGTGGGGACACAGCACCTCACTACCCGTGTGACCCTTTGCAGAGCTGAAACCCTCTCCACAAACCATGCTGCAAAGTATGGCCTGTTCTCCTGAGCAGACATGTAAGAAAAATGAGTAAATGCAAATTACAAAGTTGCAAATCTTCAATTTGATTTGCAAGGTTGCAAGGTTTTGCAAGGTTGAATTGCTACAGAAATGGTTAAAAAAAGTCACTTTTTCAAATTAACCAATTGAATAGAGAATCGGTGATCACTCTTGATCTGAAAAGGTGGCAATTCTAATGTCTCTTGAGCTGGAGTCCCCAGCTGGATAACCGGGGAAGTGCCGCTTTTCAGAATCAAACCAGAGCCAGCTCTGCCCTCTGCCGATGGGGACCACGATGGCTCGGGAACTTGGGGATGGGTGACACCACTTCAGGGCACACTTGGAAGAGTCCTCGGCTCTCACCCTGGTTTGCTCCGTGAAACCCACTGAACAAGAAAGTAACGACCGTGGAGAACCCGCTGCTTTTGGGGGGAGCCCAAACCTGACCCTGATCAGCCCCCCCAGAGCACTGGAACTGCAGCACGGGGTAACAACACCCAGATGAGAGAGAAAGGGACAGTGAGGGGAAGGAGACTAATGGATGAAGCATCTCATTCCCTCAGCCTCAGCCCCGTGCCCTTCACAGAGGGGCTCTGCCAGTGGGCACCTGCCCCTGGGAGCCAGCTCTGCTTTACCAGGGGTCGAGCACCCCCAGATCCCCCTCCCACCCCAGCAAGGGCAGCTACTGGGGCAACAGTTCCCAAAACACCCCGAATCCACCATCGGGTCTACAAATACAGACATAAAAGCACAAAAATAGAAAAGGAAAGAGGAGGAGGGTCCAGCCAGGCCCCAGGGCAGGGGGAGCACCCCAAAAGCGGTGCCCTCCCACCCCGTTCCTCTGCGCGGGCGCAGCCGCAGCTCCACCAGTTGCACTTTTGCTTTGCACGTCGAGGGAGGGACCCGCGGGGGGACCTGCTGGCAGCACCCACAGGGCCACACGGAGCAGCCTGGCAGGACAGCAAAGGTAGGACTGATCTCTCTGTCCTGGCCAGCTCTGGTTCCAGCTGAAGGATTTAAACTGGGCTTGTTTTTAATAACTGCGACAGAGCCGGTGCCGCTTCTGGTGGGTGCTGGGAGTGTTCAGAGGGGATGGGACACCCCAGGGAGGGGCAGGGGGGTCCTGCCTTAACACCAACCCTGTGTGTCTCCAGAAGTTAATGGGCAGAAGGGAGGAGACACAGAGTAAGCCCAGGTACAGGTAAGGAGCTAAAACCTCATGTTTTGGAAGAGCGAGCTCCTGTGCCTGCTCACAGATGCTCTGAGTACCCAAGGGAGAGCAGGGGGGTGGCTGGAGCCAAAATACCCAGACCTAAAAGGGTCAAACTGTATTTTTTGCTATCATTATATGAGTATCAAGAAGCTGAATTTAAGGATTAACATCAAATGCAGTGATTCTCAGCCTTTGCAAACCCACAGCTGCCTGGGGTGAGACTTGTCTGTAAGTGGACTCTGAGGCCACACAGCCCCATCCCCACAACTGACCCAATTCACTCACTGCTCTGGGTTTTCCTGGGGTTTGTCTCACTCTATTTGTCCCATGGGTTTTCCCAAGTGGTCTGTTCCTCATAGGAGGCACCACATGAATTTTCCACAGGCCTTTTTCCACTTAATTGCAAGAATCAGGGAAGGGGGGAGGCAGGGTTATCACAGCCCAGGGACGTGGCTGTGCCTCCCTGGGGGATGTGCCCTGGGTGGAAAACTCACAGCTTTGGTGCTCCTTGCTCTGAACATCTCCCAGGAATGTTGGGGTGTGCCAGGGAGGGAGAAGAGAGCTGGGGGATTAGGATAACACACAGCACGGCTGCTCTGGGTTATTTTTCCCTTCTTAACCAAGATTAATATTGACAAAGGAGGACAGGAGCTTTTGCAAAGGATTAAAAGGCCAAAGCAGAGTATTTCATACAGCATTAAAGTAGAGCATTTCATAGAATATGCTGAGTTGGAAGCACCCATCAGGATCAAGTCCAGCTCTCGGCCCTGCACAGGACACCCCAACAATCCCACCATGTTTTCCTGTATATTCTTGGAATTCAGTTAATACAGCAAAGGGCAATGTTGCCCCTCTGGAGGAAGACACAAACCACAGATATTTACAAGGAAACTGCTTCAAGGCAGAGAAGCTTTTATCCTCCCCTGATGTGAATTAAAAGAATCGAAAAGAAAACCTGTGCAATGATCAGTCTCTAGTTCTGTGACTTCTGTTTTCAGTTAATACCTAGTATTAATTAATACCCGCTAGTTACTAATAGTTATCTCTGCTAGAACAGGACAGCAGCACTTCAGGTGAGCTGAAGAACAAGTGGGCACTGGGAGAAGCCCAGCACAGGACACCCCTGGGCCCTGTCCCCACACCCCCAGAGAACCCACACGGAGGGACAGAACCACCCTCACTCTGCCTCCACCAGAGCAGCTTCAGCAGGAAACTAAATTTCCATTTCGGGTCACCCAAGTGCACATTCTGCTTTTATTTTAGGTTGTGGAGGATAAGGAGTTAAAATAGAAGAGAGGTGGGAGGCAGCAGCACAGCCCAGCTCCCCCCAGAAGGGTAAGTCAGCTGGTGACACCAGGGTGCTGCTGCTGTGCCCAGGTCTCGGGCACAGGCTTTACATGTTCTTACAGTGCAAATACAGCCCCAAACTGAACCCAGGGTGGCTTGGCACCCACAGCTCACCTGTGCCAGCAGCAAGAACGGTGCTTGAGGGCAGGATCCATCCAGGCTGATCCCTCACCCTGGCTCTGGGAAGGAGCAGGAGGTGTGGGACAGCATCCCAGCTCCTGGGGGAACCTGAGCTCCAAGAGGGTTCCAGGCACAACACCACAACAGGGACAGCACCCCAAACTGTACCTGGCCATGAACTACCCTCCCCCAGCTGTATTTAAAGCCTCTCCCCCACCCAGCTGGGTTTAAGGGCTGCTGTGGCTTTTCCTGGGGTAAAACCCTCAGGATTTGCTAACGAGCCCCTGGGCTGACCCAGGATTTTTAAGCACCCTCAGGTGTGGCTGCTGAGCCCTGATGGGCTCTGAGGGGGGTGATGGGCTGTGAGGAGGGCACGGGGCAGAGCCCACAGGTGTGACCCCTGAGTGGCTGCTCCCACATCCCAGCCCCTGCACTGCTCACATGGAGCATATGGACACAGGGCTGCCCTTCAGCATGTGGGAAATGCTGCACACAGGCCATGGCCAGCTGTAACAGGCTGGTTTAGGGTCTGGCTGCGACTTCTACCTGCTGCCTCTGCCTCATGAAGCACAAAGTCTTCATCCAGTGCCCCAACGTGGCTGACTGGGGGGTCTCCTTGGCAAAATCAGGGGGAAAAGCCACTCGGGGAAGAAGGGGACTGTGCCTCGGGAGAGCCTCTCCCCTGCCCCCCTGTGCTGGGGGGAAGTGAGCACGGAGCACACGAAACAAAATTTCCTCTTTCTGGAGCTTTTTTTAGCCTCCTGCTGGTTTTTACACAGCACGTGGGGCTGAACTTTGTGATGTTGCTGTTTGGGATTTCCAGAGCACTGTTTCTTACGTTGCTGAGTTTTTATACCCCTCTCCCCGAGCTCCAAGGGTGTTTCTGGGGGCTCTGGGTGAGCACCCTCAGTGCTCCCCACCTTTAGCTGGGCCTTCTGGGACCCCTCGTGCCACAGGGAGAGGCAGAAGGTGCTCCCAGTGCATCCCTGACCAGGGCCAGGCTGGAGGGAGCAGGGCATGGAGTTCCAGGAAAGTGGCTGTGCAGTGGGGATGGGAAGTGCAGGAGCTGGGGGACAGCAGGAAAACATGAGTGTGCACACGTGTGTGCAGTGGCTGTGGATGGGCTGGGGCTGCACCCTGGCCTTGCCCCTGTGTGTCTCATGGCCCAGACACAGAGTTAAAGTGAGTTTACCCCTGTGGGAATGCAGCCAGAGGAAAAAGGAGCACTATTGAGTCTCCCTGAGTGGGTGACAGGAGCCCCTGACAAGAGGTGAAAGACAAGCTGCTTTAAATTAATTTAAAAAAAAAAAGAAGCTTAAATAAACCACTGTGAGGAAGAGCTGGGTGACATGGGCTTAGGGCTTTGTGTTGCCCTGGATGCCCCATGGATGATGCCCAGCCTGGTGCAGTGGTGCCAGCTGTGCTGCAGGAGCAGGACACCCATCTGGGCAGGGAGAGGTGACACCTGAGCTCCTCTGACGGTGCTTGAGAGCAAACATCAGGCAAGGATCTGATGGAATCATGGAATGGTTGGGGCTGGAAGGGACCTTAAAGACATCTCATTCCACCCCTGCCATGGGCAGGGACACTTTCCTTAAAGCCCCATCCAACCTGGCCTTGGACACTCCCAGGGATGTGCCACTCAAGCCCCATCAAATGGAAATCAAAGCCCTCAGCCCAAGTTACCCACCAGTGATGGATAAAACCCCAGGGGTTTTAGGTGAGCACCAGTTTTTCCTGCTTGATGAAGAGATTACTCACATTCCTAAAGGTTTGTGCATTGGAAGTTGGAGGGAGAATTGCTAAAGGAATTGGAAAGTCTTTGAGCTGAAGGCTGATTTCTCTATCGTTTATTAATCACTGCTCCTGGAGTTTAATGGGATTATTTCAGGAGCCATTTTGCTCCACTGGTTATGTGGAAGGAAGATTGTCTCAGTCTCCTTGGAATCATCACTCAATGGTGATGAAAAGGCAGGAGAAACTACACAAATAGACACAGAAAGGCTGCACTCCCCCCAGCCATTTCCTTTTGTAGAAGATTTTCTGTTTCCACTCAAAGCTACTTCAAAGTTTCGGTGCCATCACACCAAGTGTTGAATGTCAGCATTGTTAACAAGTGTTCATATTTTAATGCCTGCATCTCAAAGCACAGGAAAAACCAGCAGGGACTGCAGCAGGGTGTCATTTTACCTTTCAAATGAAAAAAAATAAATAAATTAAACCCTTTAAAATTAAATAACTGTGCCTTTGGCATCTGGGTTGGTACCTCCAAATTTCTCCCACTTAGACCTGCAGGTTAATTCTTCATGTGGAAGCCAGAGGCAAACCTGAGAGAGTTTGGGCAGAAACCTGAATTTCCTCCAGATTTATCAGAGCTGGCTGAGGTTTTTCTGTCTGACACATTCGGATAACATCAGCTCTTTACTGTGCAAACAGTTTGAAATAAAGTCCACCCACAATCCCCTCAGTGCCGGTGTCTGGTATTTCCAACAGCTCCAGCAGTGCCAGGGTGGGTGAGGAAAGGTTTGGAAAAAGCAGCTGTGAGAAAATCAGATTTAATCTACTGCAGGTTGTTGTGCAGCAGAAGGTGGTCAATAAGTGGCCAGCTGTCCCTGCTTGCAGCAGGGATGGTTCATGTTCTGTTTATGAGCAGAAATGAAAAAGCTGACCCTGGTTTGGTGAAAGCCACCGAGCTGTGACTTCCCCTCCTGACGTGGCGGCTGCTCCGGTGGGAAATGTTTGTGTCCCATCATGTGTTACACAAGGAGCAGATCTCCCTCTGCCACCTCTGAACCTTCAGAAGGGCTTTCCTGGGCAGAACAGGGGAGTGTGAGGTGAGAGTGTCCCGGCCAGCCTGGGGGGAGGCAGGCACGGCGCTCACTGGAGCATCTCAGCCACGTGCCTGGACACAGGGAGACCAACAGAACTGGTTTGTAGCAGCAATTAAACACATTTTCCATTTACTCCTCAGTGGTTTGACACCTCCACTGGACAAGGCAGGAGGAGAGCTGACTACTTCCAAAGCCACAAAGGTTTCTGCTGGCCAGAGGTTCCCATGGCTCTTTCCAGCTCTGTTTGACCTGTGCCTCCCCACAATGCTCTAACTGCATCTTTCTGTCTTCCAGCTGAGGGGCCACGTCAGTTGTTGAGTTCCTGCATTGAGAGAAGTGGCTGAAATGCCACCCAAAAGGTGACAGAGGCACAGCCCCGTGAGGCCCTGCCCACCTGGGCACACGGCGATGCCCTTCCCGGTGTGGATCCCCTCCCTGCCCATCCTGCAGGACAGCACAGCACGGGCTGGGACCATCTGACAGGGAGCATGAGCAGGGCTTGGATTAACTCCCTCACCCCAAAGTGACGAAGCTCCTCCCCAGAGCAGCCAGGAACCCAACCCTCACACAGGGATTCCAGGGCTGAAACACTTCACTGTAGCAGCTGAGGACAAGGTGGCTGCAGGACACGCTGAGGGACATGTTATGATGCCGGGGCTGAGCACGGGCCCCGAGCACAACCATGACCAACAGCTCCAACTGCACAGAGACAGACCTGAAGCGCTACTACGCCGTCACCTACACGGTGATCCTCATCCCCGGCCTCATAGCAAACACGCTGGCCCTGTGGGTCTTCTACGGGTACATGAAGGAGACTAAAAGGGCCGTGATATTTATGATCAATTTGGCCATCGCCGATTTACTGCAGGTTCTGTCCTTGCCCCTGAGGATTTTCTATTACCTGACGGGCACGTGGGAGTTCGGGGGAGGGCTCTGCCTGCTCTGCTTCTACCTGAAGTACGTCAATATGTACGCCAGCATCTTCTTCCTGGTGTGCATCAGCGTGAGGAGGTACCTGTTCCTCATGCACCCCTTCAGGTTCAGCGACTGCAAGCGTGTCTGTGACATCTACGTCAGCGTCGTGGGCTGGGTCGTGGTCTGCGTGGCCTGTCTGCCCTTCCCGCTCCTCAGGCTCCACAAGGATAACAAAAACACCTGCTTTGTGGATCTGCCCATCAAGGAGCTCGACCTTCCCACCTCCATTACGCTGATGACAATAGGGGAGCTGGTGGGGTTCGTGACACCCCTGCTCATCATCCTGTACTGCTCGTGGAAGACCATCCTGTCACTGAAAGAGAAAAACTCTGCTTTGCACGACCTGGGGGAGAAGAAAAAGGCTTTGAAGATGATTCTCACCTGTGCCCTGGTGTTCCTGATTTGCTTTGCACCTTATCACATCGGCTTCCCCCTGGACTTCTTTGTGAAGACCAAGCAGATCAAGGGGGGGTGTGTGCAGAAGGTGATCTCGGTGTTCCACGCCGTGGCTCTGTGCCTCGCCAGCCTCAACTCCTGCGTCGACCCCGTCATCTACTACTTTACCACAGATGAGTTCAGGAGACGCCTCTCCAGGCAGGATTTGCACGACAGCATCCAGCTCCACCACCTCAGCTACACCAGGAAACACTCCAGGGACGTGCTCATGGAGGACACCACAGAATAGACTCACTAGATGTTGGGCCTTGGCCCCCTGTTCTCCCCACAACTCAGGCAAACTTCTGCTTTCACTGAGGGTTGGAGTAAACAAACAAACACCCCCCCAAAGCCCAAACCTGACCAAAGATGTGTTGATTTAATACTTTAGTTGCAATTTTTCTCTGAATATAAATAACAGCATTTCCATTCCTAAGCTGGGCAGGCTGGAGCAGGTGAGGACAAGGACCCGTGGCAGAAGTGATGCTGTGCCCTGTTGTCACCTGTGGCACTTCCCAGCCACATCCTGGTCATGCACTTCAGCAAGAGGCAGCAAAGATTTTGGGCTCCTGCTATGCAAAACAAATCTGAGCCAAAAAAATTACAGGCTGACACAATATTATATATTTCTGAAGCACAAGACAATCCAGCAGGGACTAACCTGTGCCAGGAGCCTCCAGCCACATTGACCATGGAGCAAGGAGCAAAAAGTGGCCCCAAAGGACTTGCCATTTAAATAATTAAAGAAGCCTCACTTTTGGGGTGTAGCAAATGACAGACCCCCAAATCACACAGTCATTGAAGCTTCCAGACACTATTTTTGTGCCATCAGTTCCCATTTCTGGCTGGAAAGTCACGTGGCTTGGAGCCATGTTGTGTAGGGGGCTGTGTTTGGAGGGTGTTTATTCAGGCTTTCAGGCCCTCTTTTCACCAAAAATGGGGCAAATTATTTCCCTTTCACTGATAACTGATCCACAGATCACATCCACTCTTCATTAGCAGGATTAAAACACAGTCAGAGGATCCAAACCTTTCCAGAGTTTGCTTTGGAACTCCCTGTGAAGCAGTCAAAGGTGCCACCCAAGAGGCTATAAGTGATTTCTAAGAAAGGCTCAAACGTGGATGTATTTTTAATAATAACCTCTTCAAAATCAAGCCACAGAAGCTTTGGGACTTTGGGATTTCGTTTGTTCCTTCTTGTAAAATGTATTTTTCTGTGAACATTTGAAATGTTACACTTTGAAACGTAAAGTGCTGTGACAGTCTGAGTTTTTATTTATGCCAGTGTTGTTTTATAATTTATAGGAAAAACATAAATATTGTAGGAAAATCATGTGGAGCCCAGAGAGTGTCGGAACACAGATTTTCTTTTTTTCTTTTCAAAAACTCTTCTAGATAATAAAACAAAACTCCACCACCTCATTCCTACAGGAATCTGAGCCAGTTCTATACCTGAGTGAAGGCTGAGAAAGCACTGATAAATCAAGGAAACCAGAGAGTACATTGTAATACGTTAACAATAGTGAAAAAAAATATTTATTTTTGTATTTTCCTCTTGCATATAATAAAAAAGATCCCTTTTAAAAATGCTTTTTAAATGTGGTTCTTGGCCCACTTTTCCCTTTGCATGACCAACACACAGTTACAGGGACCAACACGTGGCAGCCCCCGGGTTGCTGATGCCTCTTGAGCACCTGCAGAACATTTCAGAGGCAAAATTATTTTAACTTCTCTCTTGTGCACTGGGGAGAAAAGCAAAGGAGTGGGTTTACCAGGACAACGGGAATTCCTAAAGCTGCAGGAATCAAGCCCATCACTGTCCTTTCTGGTCCCTGTGGGAGGGGGGCAGGAGGGCCCTGTCCAACCCCCCCGAGCTACTTTTAGCTCCCGAGGGGAAAAAGATGTTACATAAAGTGGTGTCAGAAGTTCAGAAATTGGTCAGTGAGAGAAACCTCAACAAGCTGATGTTTCCCCCCAGAAAATCCCATGGGTGCACCCACTGCCACAGCAATGGGGGTTATTCAGATCAGAATTAAACACCTCTTTCTTACAGGAAGCGGGGTGGGGATGAATTCAGGAGGGACCTGCCTGCCCTTCCCTGAGGCACCTCTGCTCCAGGTGGGATCTGTTTGGCCACACTCTCCATCACTGAGGTTTCACAAGCCCCTGGAGATGCTGCCATGGACATTTGGAGAACCAAGGCAGCACTTAAATCAACAGGAGGTGTATTTTCATGCCCCAGAGCAATCACACACCAGCAGGGAGGTTCTCTGCTGCCTTTCTGCCACCCAGGAAAGCCTCATGTGGGGATGGCAGGTGGCACAGGGGAGGTTTGGAGGAGCCAAGCAATGCCCAAGCACTGCTGCAGCAGAAACAAGTGCTGTTTGGTGGCTGTTCTGCCCAGCTCTGAGCTCTGTGCTTGGCAACATCCCACTCCTCACCTGGACTTAGTTCTCCATCAGTCTGTTCAGAGCCAGCAGACGCTGAGGTTCCCATGAAAATCTTTTCTCTGGAAAGATTTTTGAGTAATATAATCTGAATAATCTCTTCTCAGCACAAGACTGGGAACATGAATGAGAACATAAGTGAGAACATAAAAAAATACCCCAAAACATCCCCTTTACTCTGCATGAAGTATTTCCTCTGCTTGCAGCCCTGCCCCCAGAGAGTTGTTATCACTGAGGAGCAAAGCACTGAGGTCTCTGCCAATGATCTCACCAGGCTCAGTCTGTGCTGGAGTGACAAGTGGCTTTTGGACACAGAATTAGGTTTAATTTGGGCTGGGCCAAAAGAAAAGCCATCAGGGCAGCAGCACAGAGCCAAGGAAGGTCTTGGGGATGCTTTGGCAGCTTAAGGTGTTTGGAAAGAGCATCGAGGGGTTTGATAAGTCTTATTTACACAGGAGACAAGGCAAGTGAGGCTGACACGGGGCTGGGTGGGAGCAGCTCTGGGGTGTGTTTCTGGCACCTTTGCTGTCCCTCCCTCTTGCACCAGGAGCAACTGGTTCCCTTTTCAGCTCCTCTGCACGACTCGTGCTGTGGTGGAGGTGAGGTCTCACCACACTCAGGACCTCCAGCCACCTCCTATCCCTGGAGGTGGGAGCAGGGCCACATGCCAATGGCCGTGGCACAGGTCCTCCAGCATTTCCAGTGCCCTCTTCATCTTCTCTGCCATCACCAGCCACTGCTCATGAACCCAAAATATCTCCTTTCAGCACAAAAAGAGCTGACTTACAGCTCCTCTTACCTAAGCAGAATTTTCCCCCCCTGACATGTCTTTTTTTTTATCAGCACTAGGTTTTATTTGCTATTTTGTCAGCTGGTTGCTCAACATCCTGGGCAGCCTCCTCGTGTCTGTAACTGTTAGATTTTCCTGCCCGGGTTAAGCTGCAGCAGCAGCAAATTTTGACACATTTAACTGCACAGTTCACTTCCTTTTTTGCTGTTAGAGCCCAAAAATGAGCACTGTCCCAGCTTGTTGGGCACAAAGGCACTCACACCTCAACAACTAAACCAACCCACAGCCAGTGACCCACACACAGTCCACCCTGTCCAGCATAAAACCAAACAGATAAAATCTTGTCAGAGAGGGTTTGATAAAAACCTGTGAAAAAATAAGCTGGACCTGTTAAAGCAGTGTTTGGTTAAGTCAGGGCACAGGAGCTCCAGTCTTTGGGGTGATAAACTGAGCTCTGTGAATGTGACCTACAGGATCTACAGCAGTGGCCAGGAGATCTAGTCTGGAAAAAAAAAAAAAAGCCAGTTACTTAAAGCATCAAGAACCAAACAATAGTAATGAAATGCAGTCATGTCCCTGCTCCTCCCTGTAGTGAGGGAAACCTGCAGCTTCCACTTGATGACCAAAAATCCTCTGGGAGGGAAGGGAAGTGTAAGGTGATTTGGTTCTGGGGGATGATGATCCCAGTGGTAACTTGGCAATAAATAATTAATTCCCTGCTTTGGTTTCTCTGCACTTGGTGGTCGTAGCTTTTGTCACCCTCATGTCCTCAGCCCTGTTCACTGATTAATTCTTAATTTTTTAAAAATCAGAATCACAGAATTGAAAGGGATCCATCAAGATAATCAAGTCCCACTCCTGACCCTGCACAGGACACACCAACAATCCCACCCTGTCCCTGAGAGCTTTGTCCAAACGCTCCTTGAGCTCAGGGGGCTGTAGAAGCCTTGTCACCCTGGCTGAAGCTGAAGCAGTTACAGCTTTGCCTCCTCACATTGTGACAAAAAAACCCCAAAGCCGGGGGAGGCTCAGCCTCTCACCCGAGCAGCGCCGGCACTTCCGTGCTGGGAGCGGAGCTGTAACGGCCCCTTCCCACCCACCCCAGACAGGAAAGCCTTTGTGCTTATCACCTACATCTGTGCTGCACTGAGAGCTGCTCTCCTGGGCCTCCGAGGGCTCTCTGCCCTCCTCAGAGCTTCACACAAGTCACAGATCACCACTGGAGCGGGGGGATCTCTGGATGACGCTCCAGAAACATCTCCTCCTCATTCCAACTCTCTGAAAGGGTTTTCCATGGTGGAGTTGTGCTGGTGGAGGTGGCTCGGAGAGGCAGCGTGTGTGGGCTGAGGAGAGCCTGTCCCCAGGATTGCTGGCTCCTGGGGCACTGCTCAGGCCTGATTTTCCCTGTAGATCGAGACTCTTGACTGAGGGAAAACAAAGTTTCTGGTTGAGGGCCTTAAGTGTAGGAGAAAACAGTGAGCTCCAGGCCTCCACAGCCTTTAGAATCCCAGGATGGTTTGGGTTGGAAGGGACCTTAAAGCCCACCCAGTCCCACCCCCTGCCAAGGGCAGGGACACCTTCCACTAGCCCAGGTTGCTCCAAGCCCCGTCCAACCTGGTCTTGGACACTTCCAGGGATGGGGCAGCCACAGCTTCCCTGGGCAACCTGTGCCAGGGCCTCCCCACCCTCACAGTTGACAATTCCTTCCCAATATCCCACTGAGACCTCCTCCATCCATGGATCTATTCCTGATGGATCCCACACACTGACACTCCCACTCCAGAATTAAAGCACCTGGTTCCATTCCAACAAGGGATTAGGTCTGTGGGAAGGAAGTTCCTTGTTCCAGATCAGGTGTCCACCCGTGGGCTTAACCCAGAGAGCTTCAAACGTCACCAAGGCCTAAAAGGGAACAGCTCAAGGGAACCCAAATGCTTCTGTAAGACACAACATCTACATCCCAGGTCACAAGGAGTTCTCAGACAGTAAATTCATTTTCACATCTGTTAACATGGAACTTGGGGGTGTCCCAGCACAAAAAGAGAGAAAATACACTTAAGTAAACAGAATAGTTGAACTATAAGAAATAATTTCCTTGATAGGTGGAGTTTAGGTGGAGAGCCTC